CTCTCAGAAGGATTAATACTTTAAGTGACTATTCATTATTTACACCTTAATATGGAGCAATTTTAGATCATTTTTCTTGAAAGTAGGCTTTGATTAAGGGGAAGGTAGATAAGATAAGAAGAGATGTATAAAAAAAAAGAAGAGATGTATAGAAGAAAAGGACAAAAAAAAAAAAAAGGAAGGGACAGGATACCATCAGGATGCAGGAAATGACAAAGCCTACTGAGGATTTAAAACACATACACATCTACACAATCTTCTCTAGGACTGGCTTTGTAGAAGAGAAGACAAAAGCTTCTGGAGGGACAACGATCAAGGTTTCCAAGGGCACTGCACAAAGGCTGGGCACATCGCAGGGCTTCTAAAGCCAGCAAGGACAAATTCAATTCATAAGGTGGTGTAAAAAAATGTCCCAGCTGTGTTGAGGTTTAGAGGAAAACCAGTTTCAAAGCCAGAAAAATTTGGAAGCTTCTCATATCACTATAGAAAGACAGACACAAAGGCCCTTTAAGAAGAACCACCATCTTCTTTGGGGATAATGAAGGGAGAGTCACATAATTTGAACATGCAGAGACCATGAACCACAAGACAGAAATCTCAAATTCCTCACTTTAGCAAAGATGCCAATAATTTTTCCAAACAAAATGATTCACTTTAACGTTTCTTTCCTGCCCATAAAAGAGAAAGACGTTTTGGCCATCTATTTGGGCATTTCCTTAGGATACCCAGCAGTGCACAAGTAGGGTGTGTATGTTTGTGTAAGAATGTGAAGGGATAACCCAGAGTACAGCTCTCTGCTTGTCTAAATTTCATAAAAAGCAAGACAAAATGAACTGTGAAAGGAGCACAATAAATAACAGAGTATCATCCCAGAAGGGAAAACCGTAAAGAAGGAGAAGCCAGAGCACGGTGGGAACATGAAACCAGAACTGCCTTTGGTGGCACATCCCCCAGAATGAAGTAAGATTAGTTTGATCTGCTGTCTCTTATCTCTGACCTTTCTGGATGAAATGAGTGGGGTGTATGTGGGAGGTTTTACACTTTTTACACTTCTATAAAACCTGGATATTTTAACATGTACATACCACTTTTCTAATTAAAAGAAAATAGTTACAAAATACAGTAGTATAAAATGAAAAAGGAGGAAGTATAATAAGGGAAAATCCAATAAGCTCCCATCTATGGGGGGAACTAAGGAGGTCAGAAGACTGTTAAAAATACATGGGAGGAAGGGACCTCTGGGTCTTAGAAATCCATCTTCCTTTTCTCTACTCACCTCCTTCCCCAAGTACCTCTGTGTGACCCAGCTTTCTAATAGCTCAGAAACCCCGGCTCCTGAAGTAGACAAAGAACGGGTGATGCCAACCTTCTGGAATGGAATTTCTCTCTTCCCCAAATCCCTTCCTCTGTGATATCACCTCATATTTCCAGGCTTGATTCCACATAATCACTACCTGCCTGGGAAATACCCAAGTCTAAGTACCATAAAAGTTTCACCAACTATGGTCAGAAGATCTTGGATGGTTGGGGATACCTAAGCCCATTTCTAGGGCAGAAAATGAATCACTGATTCCCCACTTCCAGGTGAGAGATATGGTCTCCAACATAGACCACATTATTAAGCAGGAAAGAAACGAACAAACATCCCCCAAATCCAACTTCTTAGCTTTTTCACAGGACACGAAACAGGAGGTAAGAAGAAACACTGCGACTGCAGCCTAAACAGCTTGCGGGCGAGGGAGAGAGTAGGGGCCGAGTTGGGAACTGCCAACAGCCACAGAAAAAACCAAAACAAAAAACAATCTGTCTTCATTGTCTACCCTGGGAGTACCAGAAAACTTCAACTTGCCACATCTCCACACCAATGAGAACAAAAGCGCGAGTACTCGCAAAACCCAAGGCCCCCAGCCCACCCCGCAGCATTCCCAGAAGCTCCCAGCACTGATTCGTGGCTCTGCTTCCACTAGTCCGGCTACCTGCGTCTTCCAGATGAGGGGAGCTTCCTTCGCTTGTCAGATCTCCCACACTGAGCCCAAACCCCTCTCGGCTCAACTCTGGGGCACCCTAGCTATTTTTATAATAGTCACTTTGCCTGAAAAGAATGCCTCTTACCCAGTTAAGAGCCCTTCCCTCACCCTTCCAAAGAGAGCTCTCGAGAGCCCCGCCCCGGTTCCCCTCGGGGCCTGGGCGCCGGGTTTGACCCCTCCTCACCTCCCGGCGAAAGGACTTACCTCACCCGCCGCCCAGTCCCTTTCCCCCAGCTCCTCCCTCTCCGGCGCCACTCAAAGAGGCCCGCCCCTGCCCGCACGCGAGCCCCGGGCCTCCCGCGCCGGCCCCCAGCCCAGCCGCCAACACCTCCCGGCCGCCTCCCCGACTCACCAACTTCGGGCTCCCAGCCCGCCCGGCCCTCTGCCCAGCGCCCCCAGTAGGCCTGCCGGGGCCTGGTCCCCCTCTCCCCTCTCCGCTGGGCCATTCTAACCCCTCGCGGAGGCCCAGACCCGCCTCTGCCCTCAGGCCAGGCCGCTTTCCTCTCCGGGGCGCCTCCGCCCCTGCCCTTGCGGGCTCCATCAGCCAGTACCTGGGGCTCCGTCTCCCCCGTCGGGCCCAAGCCTGTGTCGAACAGACAAACAGCTGCAGCTCAACCAAACCTCCTGCCCCTCCTCCTCCTCCTCGCCCTGGGGCGGGGCCCCAGCCAATTGCACGACTACCCGCCTACCATCACGGGTGGGCTCTCTGCGTGCTAATCCGCCAATCCTCTGGAGAAAGGCGGGTCTCTTTCGACGCTGTCACCAACGAGTACGAGCAAAGGACTGGATAGGCGAGACCCCAGACCAATACAGTGAGGGAAACCTTGAGGACGGGCGAGGCGCGGAGCCACTAAAGGGCGAGCGCCTCAAGACAGGGGGCGGCACCCTGTTGATAGGCGTAAACGTTAACCAATAAAATCGTGACGCCCTCATGACCCCGCCTTTTAACTCAAAAACACCTAATCAGGTGAGCGATGGAGGCGGGTCAAAGTGAAACTTCAACCAGTACTGCGAGAAGTTGGGACTTGAATGGCAGGCAAGGCAGGGTTGAAAGAGGCCTCAGGAGCGCCGCCGCTGACCTCCGCCCCTCCCCCGGGGTTTGACTGGGGCTGCCTCCAGCGCCCCGCCTTCGCGGACGGACTCGCGGGCGTGAAGGGAAATACCTCTCCGCGGACCCGGAGCCTGCGGACTTAAGCAGCCTTCACGTCGGTGCTTCCTCCTCTTAGCTGCGGCCTCAGGGCACGGGCATTTCGGGGCTGGCCCTCGGGCAGTCTGAAATGTTTTCTGGTGAGCTGAGACAGTGGCAGTTTGGGGAGGCTTCAGCCCCTTTACAATAATTTTCATACAGACGGTTGATATATTCAGAATCATATGTAAATGTGAATAAGTATATTTGAAAAACTCTGTGATATGCAAAAAGAAAAGAAAAAAAAAGGCAAACTTATTGGGAAACGCAGCGTCAGTGCGAATCCCCTTGGAGCCCACTTCCAACGTCGTCCTGCTCCTGAGCCCTAATAGGCATCGCAAATCTCGAACTGGACCTTGTATGTATGTGTGTGTGATATGGGTGGTGGGTAGGGTGGTGAGACGCGCAGGTTTAGGGGAAAGTGAAGTAGGAAATACGTAAGCTTCACTTTCCCCGGCCGTAAAATGGGGGCATTAATTCCCGCTTCGCCCACCCGCACAGTATCACATTGCATCAGAGGTTGAAATGGAGTGGGGTGGGTAGCCGTGCTCAGACAGATTAAGAGGGGTCTGAAATCTATTATCACATACACACATCCATATTCTCTCTCACACCATACTTTCAGTAAATACACAAAAGAGGAAAGAGATGAACTGTAAAACTAGGAACTTTTTAATCAGTTACAAACTAAATTACAAATAATGTTAACAGCAAGAACACCAAGGACAAAAGTGGGAGAAGAGAGACAAAATCATGAAAAAAAGCTTTAAAAAAAAAACACACCACAACATATTTGCATTACAAACCCCAAGGTGCACATGGCAACAATCCCCACCCATTCCCACTTAAAAAACTACTATAACCTGAAATATAAATATAATTGTTCATCCTTCTTTTAAAGAAATATTTCCCCCCCAATATCCCCACTCACTCACAGCCCTAAGTGTCAGAATTCTCAAAATGATGTCTCAACCTTAACTTTTACTCTTACGGGGTGGCCTTCAGAGGAAGATGGGACCTAGCACCTTAAGAATCTTAAAAAGAAGAGAAAAATTCAAACACCTTTCACTTGCCTCATAAGGCCAAGGTGAAGCACAGTCCCTGTCCCAGAGCCTCCTAGACACACCTTGCCCATAGGAGGGACAGGCAAGACGCCTAGGAGCCATCGTTTCTACTGCAGCCCCACTGGGACTGCAGAGACTAGGAGTCTGAGACTGGGAGTCCTGAGTCTCCCAGATGTTAGGTGAGATGAAACACTAACACTAGGGTAGAAACCAGTTGGATCTATTTTTTTTAAACCTAATTCTTTAAAACAGGCCCCTCCATAATGTTTTTGTTTTGCTTGGTTTTCAAAGGTTCCAACTTAGCCCCCAGTGCTATCAGTTGGCCTTACAACAGTGGCTCTGGAGGCTTGGGGTCTTTAATCATCCCAGATACAGAAAATAATAATAGTGGGGCTTTCAGAGACTGGGAAGGCAAACCTATGTGGATGGAGGAGAAAGTCTTATTTTTTGTCTTTTTAAAAAATATCAGCCCTCTTAAGCAACGACTAAGAGGAGGGAGAGAAGGGAGTGGAGGCTGACTTAAGTGCATCTAATACTGAAGCGTCCTTTCAATTCCACCTATTTCTTCCCTCCACCCCATCATTCCAGAGTGGACTGGCTAAGAGGCGCAGGTGAGTGCTAAGGCAACCAGATAAGATCAGTGCGCTAAGAGCCTGGGCCAAGCCAGATCACACTCGCACTGGAGAAGAGGGTGATACTGGGGGTAGGGGCTTGAGAAGGTGATCAGAGTCGAAGGTGAGGTACTGGCTTGGTCACATCTTGGAAGAAAGGATGAGCCAGAGCTGCCTTGGCTGAAATCCGCTTGTTAGGGTCGTAGTGCAGCATTTGCTGGAGGGAGAGATGCATGCTGACTTCAGTAATGTGGTAATGGACTAAATGTGCAGCAAGTATTCAGAAATTGGGAAACAGAATTCCTTTCACCCCCAGCTCCCCTTTCCTCCTCCCTATATCTAATGGGTGCACCAACAAGAGGGAAGCAGAGACAAGGGAAATGCTGAGACCAGGAGTCCAGGGCCTCATTCTTCCTTCATGCTAGAAAAACCCTGCCCTGGGGGAGGGAACAAGAGGAAATGGATGCCCACTCCCTAGCCTCACCGATAACAAGCTCCGTCCATCTTCATCCAGGGGAGGCACCACTTTGCTAAAATCCTGCCTGGCCCACTTGGGGAAACTTGGCTTATAATCCGGCATAGAAGTAACTCCTGGCCAAACCACCTCATCTGGGGTTCCCAGGGTCCGAAAGATCCGGAAGAGTTGGTCGATCTCAGAATCTCCGGGGAATAGGGCCCGGCGGGTCACCTGAAGATGGGGAAAGGGGAAAGGCCAGGACCGACACTGACGTCAATCAGAGCTGCCCAATGGATAATGGAGCTTCCCACAAGCAGTGGAAGGTCAGCAGGGCCCCATGACTCCCTCCCCAGGTCTTTCATGGGCTCAGTCACACACAGCCTGAGACAATGAAGTCCCTTCATCTGCCTCCTCGCCCCCTCCTTCCTTCCCCCAACCATGGTTTTGCAGATCCCCAAGGCTGGGTGGGGCTGGGAGGGGGTGAATGTCTGGGGTGCCACTGACATGTAGCAAAGGGATGTCAAGCCACTCACGGGGTATGGGGTAGACACTGCGGTCATCCCCCCTCCTTGTGATGCAGCCACTTCTAGATAGGAGCACAGCGGGCAGAGACTGTGTCTTCCATTTCTTCTGTGTTCCCCACAGCACCTAGCATGGTGCTGGGTACACACTAGGTGCTTAACAAATATTTTTTGATGAATTGAGAGACGTATATGGGCAATTGTAAAGTATTGCACTGGGGGATAAATGCATGTTATATATATGGGCTAATGGTCTCCATGCCCCCAGTTACAACCCAGATAAGGGACCATAAAACATACTGCTGATTTGATTTGAAAACAGCTCACTCCACTGTTGTATTAAAGGTAATGAGAGCTCCCTTATAAGGCTGGGCCTCAGGGATCCTTCAATCTGAAAAGCCAGAGGTTGAGGGGGGACATGTCTGCAGTTTAAATAAAAGGTGTGGATAAGGTGAATACAGCTAGCCTCACCACTTTCTAATGCCCTAAAATAAGGTCTACAGGCAAATGAAGGAGATGCTAAATGGAACTTATTTTCCCAAATATATGTAGGCTAAAGCTAGCACAATTGCAGAAATGATTTAGCTCAGTTTGGAGATAAGATTTGTATACTGGATGCTAAGCTGTCTGAGGCTGTCCTAACATTGTGGTTGACAACAGGGATGACAGCCGTCTCCTTTCTATACCACCCCCTTTGTGCTACTCTAGAGGAAGAGACCTGTGATAAGAGAAGGACCATGGGTCTGGGCCAAGAAACAGTTCTGTTGTTCTTGAATGTGGGGAGGAGTGGGCTGGGTAGACCATGGGCATGCCTCCATACCATCTCAGCAAAGATGCAGCCGAGGCTCCATATGTCCACTGCTGTGGAGTAGTATTTGCAGCCCAGAAGGATTTCCGGTGCTCGGTACCACAGAGTCACCACCTGAGGACAAGAGCATAGGACATGAAGATACCCACACGTCAGTTCCTAAGCACTATTCTCTAACTCAGTTTCTTAACAAGCAGCTTCTATCCTGCCATCCTTCCCTCCCCTCTCATTGCCCCTAAGTAAAATAACTGGGTACAACTTGTTAGTCCAGAGTTAGCCTAATCCATGGTTCTGGGGAACATATATTGTGAACCCTCAATTTGCAACCTTCTTGGAAGACTTGAGGCAAGCGGTCATAATTTTACATTTCATGCCATCCACCTGTCCCCTGGCTCGGTATGTATCAATATATGAACTCTGTGCATACTCTAAGACCTCTTGGGGTGTCAGAGATACTTTCCATCTAGTGAGAAACTGCTGGCCAGATCTTTACTAAAAACTCTGTGAATGTCCTTATCAACACCTCCCAGGAAGTTCAGAAAAGACATGCAGAGGAGGACTCACCTCGTGGGTGTAAGTACGAACAGGGACCCCAAAAGCTCTGGCTAGTCCAAAGTCTGCTAGCTTGATGGACCCATCGGCGTTGATAAGCAGATTCTGAGGTTTAAGGTCTCGGTGCAGGACCCGATGAGAGTGGCAGAAAGCTAGGCCCTGGAGCAGCTGGAACAAGTAGCTCTGACAAGGGGAGAGGAAAACTGTGTTTTTCCAGCACGGTGAGCAGACTAGGGTCTCCTCTGTAACTCCAAAGTCCTACTAAAGCCTTTACTAGTTAAATTGTAATTATATGTTTACAAGCTATTTCTCCAATTGGACTGTCAACCAGTGAGGATAAGATCAGGTCTCATTCAGTTTTGCATTTATGTTCCATATCGTGGGTCCTGCACATTGAAGGTGTTCAATAAATGTGTGTTGGATAAATGTTTGTTTGTTGATCGAAAGTAGCTTCCGGAGTAAGGAACCAGAAAAAATGGACAACGGAGACTCACTGGCTATTTCTCCCACCAAACAGGTGGAAGGGTTTTCTGGAGGTGTCTACCAAGTACCCCCCAGTCCTACTTATCTGAGTTTCATCTCAAGAACCTTCCACCTGAGCTGCTCAGTTGACTCACTAGAGTTTCAACTTCTTTGATTCCCCTGCCCAGCCCTAGGGTTGAAAGCATAATGAGCAGTGAAGGAGCCACAAGAAAAGGTGTGTGTGTGTGTGTGTGTGTGTAGGGGGTGAGGGCTGGGAAGGAAGCCAGGATGACAAATCAACACTCAGTCGGATTGCCTGCCTTCATTCCCCCCAAGACATGCCCATGTTGGGGAGGAGTTGATGAGAAGGTGTACCTTTATGAGTGGAAGAGGGATGCCAGTGAGCGTAGAGGCATCCATGAATTTCTTGAGATCCTGGTGCAGAAACTCAAAAACCAGGTAGAGTTTGTTTTCTGTGTGGATGACATCCAGCAGCCTAGGGAAGGGGGAGGGCCAGGAATACGCGTGAGGGAGAGAAAGGCCCAGACAGCACCAACAGAAGACATCCTCCTTTACTGTCGGAGCACCTCCTACCGCCCAGACACATACTTACTTGACAATATTAGGGTGATTAAGCTCCTTAAGCAGAGAGATTTCTCGTATGGCAGTACTGGGTACACCCTCTGTCTCACTTGCAGAAGTTGGGAAAGCAGAGATGGGAATGTGGTTACAAATATTCCTCTTCCCTCAGTACGGTCATCCCCCCCACCCCGCCCCTGGCCCCCACCATCCCAGCATCCCCTAAGAAAATGAGAGAAAGGGTGCTTCAGGGGTTAATTCATGCATGGACAGGAGTGGCCTTTTGGACACATTAGGATCATCATTTCTTCTTTGCCCAGGGTTAGGTTAGCAAAGCCTCTTGGTGAAGGTGAAGTTAAAAAGGGGGGTAAAAGTGTGTGTGTGGGGGGGAGTAACAGCACCCAGCCTCTCTAGAGGTGCCAGTGAGGTTCAACTGCCGTTCTTTTGAAAAAGAGAATTCTAAGATGCGGGTGGGGTTGGGGCACTGAGGGCTCGTCTAGTCATGTGTAAGGGTACTCTTTACCGCTTATCACAAAACCCATCTCCTCGTCGGGGAGTCCTGGATCCCATCTCAAAAGGCTCCTTCCTCTTCCTGACTCTTTCTGACTGTACATTTGGGGACATCGCCCGCCTTTGGGGAGGAAATTTCCCGTGGATTCGACACTACCCTATAGTCTCCACCAGGAAACCCTCTACTCGTCCTTCAGCCCACCTCTCCACTTCAAAAGGCTTCCCTCCCCGCTACCTTCCGGTCCCTGGGAGGCTACCCGCCTGTTGCGGTGGGGGTGGGGGGCACTCAAGGAGCTCCCGAGTCAGGAGTCCCGGGTACAGAGGCCACTCACGTGTCCAGGCGGATTTTTTTAAGCGCCACCACTTCTCCCGTCAACTTGTTTTTGGCTTTGTACACAACTCCGTACGTTCCCTCTCCGATCTTTTCCACTTTTTGGAAGTTCTCCATGAAGCGCTAGCGAGTCGGGTCAGCCCGGCCCTGGAGCGGGGGCCTGGGAACCCTGCAGAAAACGGCACCCAGCTGTCGGGGGCCGAGGAGGGAAACACGGACCAGCACCGCGACCCGAGGTCGGGATGGAACGCAGTGTATCTCTCGCTCTTGTCAATTTGCCCAGCTTGAAACAATATTGCCGCCTCCCCCTCCAGTTCCCTACCGCCACCAGAAGCCCCGCCTCTCCTTCCCGCGTTTCCCTGGCTCCTCCCTCAGGCCTTCCTATTGGTCCACGTCAGAGAGGGCGGTGCCATCCCTGCGTCCCTCGCTGCAAACGACCCCACCCCGAGCAACTTTGGTTCCGAGGAGTGTTAATGATAAATTTTTATCTGGGTGGGGAGGCTGAACACCTTTTTCCAACTATCTGATTTGGGATCGAGTTTCCTCCTTGTGTCCTGAGTCTATAGGGATTTCCTGATCTCTAATTCGCCGTTTTCACGACCCCTAGGAAAATATGTATTGACCTAAGATTAAATTCCACCTCGCCCTGGAACCTCCTCCGAAAGCAGGCAACTGGAAATCTCACTGTAAGCGTTTCCTGGGGCTCCAAAGAGTCGTTGTCCCGCTTCTCTCAACCTACTTCAATACTGTCTATTTTTGGATCCAGGGTCACTGCTTCTACAGTTATTTTGAGAGGTTCCTGGTTTTACTCACAATAGATTGATCCACTCTCCAATGATGAACTGTGTGTGTCCGGTACGTGTTACGTTTTGTAGCTGCCCTTCAGTCATTTTTTCCCCCCGAGGGGAGATGGAGTGCTTTAAGATGAGACTGACCCTGGAAAGCCAGAAACTGTCAATGAGCAGCAGGATGTCCGGGGACCAGGATCCCTCCTCGGTTCTGCCTTTCTCAGGTCATTCTGCTCCTCCCAGGATTTGCCTGGAGGGAGGGGAGGAAGGGCTATGCAAATGAGCACCCTCTTCTTATACAGGGGTTTGTCCAATACCCCAGAGTCTTTGGTTGCTGGAAGGAAGAACAGGATGGATCTGGTGCTGAGAAAATACCTTCTCCATGTGGCTCTGATGGGTGTTGTTCTGGCTGTAGGGGCCACAGAAGGTGAGTGTGGGATGTGTGGACATGAACAAGTGTGAACTTGGGTTTGCACACTTGCTCTGGTTTTTCTCTCCCTAAAATGGAAGATATAAGCAGCGCTTCAGGTGTCTCCCACCCATTTGATTTGGTGAGGACATGGGCAACTGAGCTCCCTCCCCACGTGAATATTTGGGTGCATGTGTGTTCAGGCACTTGGGACTGAACCTGAAAACAATCCCATCTACCTGGAAGGATGAGAGAACAGTATGTCCCTGTGGTCCTAATTTTGAGATGCTCTGAATAGTGAGCTGGAACGTGGGTGCCAAGGTAGTAAAATGAGTGGAAACTCATTTAGGCATTGCCTCAGGCACTTGGGATAGGGTATTTAAAGTGAGGAGAAAGAGACTGTGGCACTGGATAGAAGGGTAAAGAGGCACCTCATCCCCTTTTTGGGATGGGCATGGGTGAACACAACCCAGGCTTTTGTTCTGGGGCTGGAAGAGACAGGCAGAGGGGTCTCAGCTGAGCATCACATGAAAGGGCTCTGCGGGATTGGGGCCTCGTGACAGGACCAAGGGCTGGGGGTGGGGGTGGTGAGAGGGTCTGGAATGTCCCGTGCTGCTCTGAGGAGGGAGGATTGGGAGTGGAGAAAGAATGGGGCATCTTATGATTCTCTTGTTCTTGTGGTGAGATATTCAGCGGGATGATTCTAGATCCTTCCCCAGAAGAATCAACCCGGTTTCTGGTACATTTTAGAGGCAGAGTGAGGATAGACGGTGATGCGCAGATATGCCTACACTGTACCCCAGTGCCCTCTTTCTCTAGATCCCTGGTCTCACAGACTTCTTGGAACTTCTTCTTGATCTGACTTCCCTCATTTATGGTGTCATTTCAAGTCTTTTTCTTTTACTATGTTCGTTATTGTATTCTGGAAATATTTTGTTCATATGTGTCCACCCAAGGCTCTTAAAATATTGTGCTTACTTTCTGGATCCGGATTTTTAAAATCATAAGAAGACATTTTTTTTTCCATTTATTTTTATTCGTTGGAGGCTAATTACTTTACAATATTGTAGTGGTTTTTGCCATACATTGACATGAATCAGCCATGGATTTACATGTGTTCCCCATCCCAATCCCCCCTCCCAAGAAGACATTTTTATATATTTCATGAAATTTTGCATGGACTGAGTTTGATAATTTTGTCTAGTGTGAATTAACATTGTGTTTATTTAAGAAAATATTCTTTTTTTTTTTTTTTTCCAGAAACCTACTGAATTTGTAGGTTTTTAAAATAGCATGATGTCTGGGATTTGCTTTTGAATGCTTCAGCCAACAAACAAACAATAAAAATAAAGGATAGATAAAGCAAATGTGACAAAATGTTGATAGTTGTTGGACCTGGGGGAGGCACATGCAGAGCCATCACATCACTTTTTTTCAGACCTCTTTCTTGGTCAGTTATAATAATTTTGTTTGTCCTCACTCCCAATTTCTACCTGCCTCTAGTCCATCCTCCTCACTGCTTGCCAAAGTGATCCTTCTAAAACACAAATCTGATCATATTCAAAAAGCTTTTGAAGGGTAAATTTTATGGCACGTGACATATCTCAATACAACAAACAAAATCATCTGAGGTCCCCTCGCCTGCAGGATCAAGTCCAAACTCCTTAGCCTGGCACTCAAACCCCCCACTCCGTTCTCCTGGCCTCATCTCTCACGATGCACATCGGCCACATTGCCAGTGGCCTCCTATCATGCCACGTGTTTCCAGACTTCCCTGCATCTGCTCATGCTGGGCCTTCTGCCTAGAATGCTTTATGCCCCAGGCCAACTATTTACTGAGTCTTCCCCAGTCGACCAGAGTGCAATTTACCTGTTTAAATCTATCATTTTGTTATACACTGTGCATGTCTATTATGGCTCATCTTAAGCAATGCCTTGAATTATAGCAATTTATGTATATGTCTATTTCATATACTTTAACCTGAACCCCTTCAGAACCATTTCTTTTTCATTTCTTAAGTTCTTTGCACCTAGCCCAGTGCCTGGTACGTGGTGGGTATCCAGTAGGTTAAAATGCACTTTAAGGGACTCCCCTTGTTGTGGTGAAGGCTCTGTGCCCCCAGTGCAGGGGACCAGGGTTCACTCTCAGCTCAGGGAACTAGGTCCCACAGGTCACAACTCGGAGTGTGCATGCCACAACTACCTGAGCCCACACGCCACAACTAATCGAAGCTCCCTCATGCTGCAACTAAGTCCTAGCACAGTTAAATAAATATATTTTTTAAATGCACTTTAAATGTGAGAATGAATGATGTGTCACAGACAGTGTGGTTCCCTGAGAAGGGAGTGAGTAATGATTTGAGGGCCCTCATAGTATATCTTCCTTTTTAGGACCCAGAGATGGGGATTGGCCTGGTGTCTCAAGGCAGCTCAGAGTTAAAGCATGGAACAGACAGCTGTACCCAGAGTGGACAGAAAGCCCGGGGCCTGACTGCTGGCGAGGTATGAACTTGGGAGTCTCCAGGGAGGACGTGGTGGAAATGGGGAGGGGAGGGGAACGGAGTTGAATGTACTTGGGAAGATAGGAAAGGAAAAGGCATACGGGGAGGAGAAGCCAAGGAGTTCTAGCTAACGCAGCTGCCCTTTTTAGGTGGCCGTGTATCCCTGAAGGTCAGCAATGATGGGCCTACGTTGATTGGGGCAAATGCCTCCTTCTCTATTGCCTTGCACTTTCCTAAAAGCCAAAAGGTGCTGCCGGATGGGCAGGTCGTCTGGGCCAACAACACCGTCGTCAATGGTGAGTGCCTCTGTGCTCCAGGCCTCCTTCCCAAGGTCCAGAATCCCTGGTGTCCCTGAAGAGCTCAAGAAATCCTCCTCCCCGTCCTCTTCTTCCTGTTTTTTTTTTTTAAACAAATTATATATGTAACACATATTCACTGCAGAAAACTTAGAAAACATAGATAAAGCAAAAAGAAAAAAAATCATAGTTCCCCAAATGGGGCACAGAAGATGCAGTGGACACAGAAGTTGGATAGACTTGGATTTAAACTGGTTACCAGTATGTGACCCTGGGCAAGTCACTGAATTGTTTTGTGCTTCCATTCCCTTATCTATAGAATAGGGATGATAGCACTTTAAAAGGTTGCTGTAAGGATGAAAGTGTGATAATATGTAAAGAATTTAGAATGCCTGCCCTGTTCAGTGCTCAGTCGCTTAGTTTAGATGCTCTGCAACCCCAGGGACTGGAGCCACCAGGCTCCTCTGTCCATGTGGATTCTCCAGGCAAGGATATTGGAGTGGGTTGCCATGCCCTCCTCCAGGGGATCTTCCCAACTCAGTATTAGTTGATGCCGTTAGTTTTACTTTTATCCCACTAGCTAGAGCACATCATCCTAGACATGTTGATACATGGCCTACCAATCTGTGTCCGGTGTAAGAACATACATGTGTGTGCTCAGTGGATCAGCCGTATCTGACTCTTTGCGACCCCATGGACTGTAGCCTGCGAAAGCTCCTCTGCCCATGGGATTGCCCAGACAAGAATACTGGAGCAGGTTGCCATTTCTTCCTCCAGGGGATCTTTCAACACAGGGGTTGATCCTGTGTCTCCTGCAGCAGCAGGTGTATTCTTTACCACTCACTGAGCCACCTGGGAAGCCCCTTAAGTATATACATAGGAATCTAAGAATATTTCCCATTCTCCCTTCTACCACTCCAAATAGGTTATACCAAGGAGAATGTATATTGGTAGCTAGGCAGTACTCCCAGAGCCCCTCTCTGGGAGTCATGTTAAAGGCTTTGGTGTACAGTAAGGAATGCCAGGGATTGAGGGAGGCTTGGTATCTTCTTTTCAGGGAGCCAGGTGTGGGGAGGACAGCTGGTGTATCCCCAAGAACCTGATGATACCTGCATCTTCCCTGATGGGGGTGCCTGCCCTTCTGGCCCTCTGTCTCAGAAGAGATGCTTTGTTTATGTCTGGAAGACCTGGGGTAAGAGTCTCCCTTCTCTGGCCTGTCATTCACACTTGAATTCAGTTCTTCCTACCTAATCCTCTTTCTTTTGGTCCCATCCCTAATTCTGTGAGTTTCCCTAATCTTCACTTCCCCCATGGAGTGAAGGACCCCAAGGAGTCCTTCCTCTTCCACAGCACCTAGTCAATTCTATTATACTTCTTTCTGGGAGCCCTGCTCCAATTATAGTCCCATCCCATGGACCCTCTCATAAGGACTCCTTTCCTGCCCAACATATGCAAGCTTACAAGCAGTCTCTGAAATAACCATCCTTGATACATCTCCTGACCTTCCTTCTCTGGTTCCCTTTCTCTAACCCTGCCCCAGTCCCCTTTGACTAGTAACTCCCTTCCCTACTCTTCTTTCCAAAAACCTCAGACCAATACTGGCAAGTTCTGGGGGGCCCAGTGTCTGGACTGAGCATTGGGACGGACAGGGCAGTGCCGGGCACACATAACATGGAAGTGACCGTCTACCACCGCCGGGGGCCCCGGAGCTACGTGCCCCTCGCTCGCTCCAGCTCAGCCTTCACTGTCACTGGTAAGGACTGAGGAGGGGACAAGGCCAGTTGCAGCGCAGGAGAGGGTGGGGAGGCTGGGCTGGACAGGAAAGGGGAAGGAGGAAATGGCGTGTAACCTTGTGGGGGCAGAACCAGGACGGTGTGGGCAGAGGGATGTGGGGCTTGGAGCCCGTGAAGGGCCGGGCAGCTTGGGTTGGCTGAAAACTATGGCTGTGAAAGCAGAAGCTGAAAGAAGGAAGAACTTACGGTTCTCACTTTCTCTGACTCCAATCCCAGACCAGGTGCCCTTCTCCGTGAGTGTGTCTCAGCTGCAGGCCTTGGATGGAAGGAACAAGCGCTTCCTGAAAAAGCAGCCTCTGACCTTTGCCCTCCAGCTCCATGATCCCAGCGGCTATTTGGCTGGGGCTGACCTTTCCTACACCTGGGACTTTGGAGACAGCACAGGGACCCTGATCTCTCGGGCACTCGTGGTCACTCACACCTACCTAGAGTCTGGCCCAGTCACTGCACAGGTGGTGCTGCAGGCTGCCGTTCCTCTCGCCTGTGGCTCCTCTCCAGTTCCAGGCACCACAGATGGGCATGTGCCAACTGCAGAGGCCCCTGGGACCACAGCTGGCCAAGTGCCTACTGCAGAAGTCACAGGCACTACACCTGGCCAGGTGCCAACTGCAGAGGCCCCTGGGACCACCGCTGGGCAGGCTCCAACCACAGAGAGTGTAGGTACCACACCTGAGCAGGGGGCAGCCTCCCAAGTCTTAGGCACCACACCAGCAGAGATGCCAACTGCAGAGGCTTCAGTTACGGCACCTGAAGTGCCAACTACAGAGCCCTCTGGAACCACGGTTACACAGGGAACAGCCCCAGAGCTGGCGGAGACCACAGCCGGAGAGGTGTCCACTCCTGAGCCTGCGGATTCAAATACCAGCCCATTCATGCCTAGAGAAGGTATTGCAGGTAAGGGGGCCACCGTGAGTGAGCTCATGGAGGTGGGGCATTTGTCACTGCTCTGAAGACCTGAATTACTCAGGACCCAGATGTTACCCAATCCTTAGCTTAGCAGTGGAGTCCCCTCAGGAGGGTCTTCCTGGTTTTAAAACCCCCTAAGTCCCTCTTAATGGCACAGAATAGATCCAGAGTTCAGGAGACCAGGGTCTCCTCCTAGGCCATGGGGAGAGAGCTTATTGCTTCTCTATCCCTGAGAAGAGTTTTTCCTTGAAGAAAAGTTCAGGGAGCAGTGTGTGACGGTGGTGCTCAGTCATGTCTGACTCTTTGCGACCTCATGGACTATGGCCACCAGGCTCCTCTGTCCATGGAATTCTCCAGGCAAGAACACTGGGCCATTCCCTTCTCCAGGGGATTTGCCCTGCCCAGGGATCAAACCCGCATTGGCAGGTGGATTCTTCACCCCTGAGCCACCTAGAAAGCCCCATGTGATCATTGAAAGTGAAGTTGCTCAGTCGTGTCCGACTTGTAGCGGCCCCATGGACTGCAGCCTACCAGGCTCCTCCGTCCATGGGATTTTCCAGGCAAGAGGACTGGAGTGGGTTGCCATTTCCTTCTCCAGGGGCTCTTCCCGACCCAGGGATCAAACCTGGGTCTCCCTCATTGTAGACAGACGCTTTACCATCTACAAGCCACCAGGGGAGTCCAACATGTGACCATTAGATAATACTTATACCTCCTGTTCTGATTCAGTGTAAATGCACAGAAATCTTTCTCAGTTTCTGACACCATTTCCCACCCCTGGATTCCCATCCCAGAGCAGGTTTACCTGGAATTGTGGTAGGAACACTAAAAAGGGAGGAGTGAGACAGCAGCACTCTAATGACTTAACACACTTGACGTCTGACCCAGGACCTGGCACAGTGTAGGGTGTGATTAACATTTGGGATTTCTAAAATGCCAGCGCTAACCCTAACTGTGACTCTGGGGCACTCGCTTCTCTTGGGCCTGTTTCTTCATCTAAAAAAGGAGAGCTCCCAGCTCTTGTCTGATTCTAAGCCTGGACCCAGTAGCTCTGACTCTACCTGGGGAAATGCATGTTGGGCCTGTTTTCAGGTTAGTCATCTGTTTCTTGACTTTGCCTCTTTAATCCTCTCGTGCCAGGCCCCCTGAGCCCCCTGCCAGATGACACCGCCACCTTAGTCCTGGTGAAGCGCCAAGCCCCCCAGGACTGTGTTCTGTATCGCTATGGCTCCTTTTCCCTCACTCTGGATATTGTCCGTGAGTCTTGCCTACACTGTCCGTGAGCTGGTGGAGGGAGGCGTGTGCTGCTTAGGGTTGCCCAGTGGAAGCACACCTTGGAAGGAATTACTCACCTGGACAAGGAGAATACCCAAATCCCAGGGGTTTCATATGAAGGCAGGAGAATGGGACTGGGGAGGCAGCCCGAGGATCTTCCTGTCCATGGGCCTTAGGGGAGGGTAAGTACAGGAGTCTGACTTAAAATCTTGCAACTTTGCAGAGGGTATTGAGAGTGCTGAGATCCTACAGGCTGTGTCATCCAGCGAAGGAGACGCATTTGAGCTGACTGTGTCTTGCCAAGGCGGGTGAGTGTCCCACGGTTGCCCTGAGAACTCCTGGGGTGACTGCTGCCCTGTTCTCTGGGGTCTAGTGTCCCTTCCCAGATTCCCTGATGTAAGCTGGCACCTCTCCCAGGCTACCCAAGGAAGCCTGCGTGGACATCTCATCGCCAGGGTGTCAGCCGCCGGCCCAGCGGCTGTGTCAGCCTGTGCCCCCCAGCCCAGCCTGCCAGCTGGTTTTGCGCCAGGTACTGAAGGGCGGCTCAGGGACCTACTGCCTCAATGTGTCTCTGGCTGATGCCAACAGCCTGGCAATGGTCAGCACCCAGCTTGTCATGCCTGGTAGGTAGCTGGACAAGAGGTAGGATGAAGACACGGGGAGATGGGAGAGGTCACTACTAGAGGTAGCAGACACTGAATGCAGCCGCATCTGGGATTCCACCCATAGGTCCAGAAGCAGGCCTCGGGCAGGCTCCTCTGTTCGTGGGCATCTTGCTGGTGCTGACAGCTTTGCTGCTTGCATCTCTGATATACAGGTGAGATCCCCGCCATCCCGCTCCCACTCCCTCACCCCTTACCACCACCACCACTCCTCAGGGGAGAGACCACCAACCCCTTTGGGAAAGTGCAGAGTCCAGGAAAGAGCCCAGACTCGGGAGTTCAACAGGTCTAGGCTGCAGTCTTGCTGGTGGGACCCTGGGGAAGTCGATTAACCCTTCTGAGCCTCTGACAAGTAGGGAACCTAATACCCGTCCTGTGGGGCTGTCGTCAGGGCTCCAGACAATGTGAGTAAATCACCTGGATCTGAAACAAAAATGCAATAAATGATGGCCTTAATGGCTGTTGTTACGAATAATATCAACAGTGGAGGAGGCTGGTGAGCTGCGTTCTCCACCTGCCGGAAAGGCAAATCCCCAGGCCCGGAGGGCTGAGGTCCTCAAAGCCGGGAAGCGTGTAGGGTGAGAGGGAAATGGTCAGAGCTTACCAGAAACGTAAGAGAGGATAAACCCTGTTGGTGAGAAGAGGAGGCAGCCAGGATCAAAGCCAAGTCAACCTGGGTTACGGTTTAGCCTTTCTCTTGGAGAAGCACAAAGAGGCTGCCATCGACCACCACTGACCACTATCCCTGCCTTTCTCCCCGTATCAGGCGAAGACTTATGAGGCAAGGCTCGGCAGTCCCCCCTCCCCAGCTGCCGAATGGTGGAGCCCCGTGGCTGCGTCTGCCCTGGGTCTTCCGCTCCTGCCCCGTTGGTGAGAGCAGACCCCTCCTCAGCCGGCAGCAGGTCTGAGAGCTCTTATGTGACGTCATGATTTACCCAGGTGGAGAGCGAGGCCTGTCTTTTCTCTGGTCTTCCTCAGAGACTACCACTGCCTGAAATAAAGACTCAGAACCTGATGCTGTTATTTGCTTGTTTCTGGAAGAATCTATGTCACTTAAGGAGGGGAGGGATAAAGGAAGGAGGTGTACCACTTACTTAACAGATATCCCAGTGGGGAAAAAAGTTCATTTTATTCAGATGAGGCACTTTCAATGTATTATTTGTGTGTGTGCACGCGCGCGTATGCATGGTGGGCAGTGGATGTGGTGCAGGATAATAAATACTGTGAGGGTGGAGGAACACCCCCCTGAGCTGGCAGGAGGGTGTGGCAGCAATTTACAGAGCCTGGGTAGGACAGTCCAGGGACAAGGAGCTTCACAGCTGGCCTGGAGGCTGAGATGTCCCCATCAGCACAAGAAGCCAAAGAAATTGGAGGAGCGAGGAGGTGGGCCCACGAGCATGGGCATCTGGTTCCTGTGAGTGATCTTGATCTGGAAGGGGAGGAGCGACATTCAGAGGCAGGACCTGGTGCCTTGGGGCTAGAGCAGCAGAGACTTAGGGGAAAATCTGTCCAGGGTCCTAGAGAGGCCACAGTTGGAAGGCCGGGGGCTGAGAATTCAGGATTTAGGAGGAAGGCGCACAGAGAACTTGAGGCCTCAGAAGGAAGTGAAGAATCCATGGAAGGGAGATTTAGGACCCATAGAGCCCGGGGCTTCAGTTTCTGGCAGGCGTAGGCAATACTCACTGTACAAGGTGTCTGCATCCAGGGTTCTCCGTCAATTTGCATGGGGAGGGTTTTTGTGGTGCTGTGTAAGGTCAAGACAAATTGGTAGTGACCTCTTTGCCAGCTGAGTACCACAACTCTGTTCCCTGGTTGGCTTTGGGCCCCTCTGTTACCAAGGAAGATCTGGGACAGGCCCTCCTTACCATTCCCATAACCTGTCTGCCTTCCTGGCCCCACTCCTTCCCTCAGAGCCCCCCAGCTGGAGTTTTTCTTACTGGAAGGTGATCTCAGAGCACTTGGCCAGCCGATGTCCAGCATTCTTGAGCTTGGTATAGATCTGGCCTATCTCAATTGCACCCTCCAGCCCCACCACTTCCAGCCGCTTGTCACTTAGGTCTGCGGGGTGGGAAGTAGGGAGATAGGTTTTGTAGAAGCAGTGTGCCACCAGAGTCATACCTTGCCCTTAGTACCCCCCACCCACCCCCGACTCAGCTCCCAAGGCCGATCCTCTTACCCGGCACGCAGGTCTTCAGGATGTCGGGGTCAGTGATGACTTTGGCAGTAGCACCCAAGGCCTGGTTGATCCCGTGGACGTCGCCGTGTGGCCTCTTGGTGTCACCCCAGAGATTGGAACCACCGTGTGTGCTTGGGATGTTCAGCACTGCGATGCCTTCTAGGGACAGGCTGCTCAGGTCCAGCGGTTTCCCACAGATCTGAGATGGGGAGAGCACAGACCCTTGCCTCATGGCATCACAACGGCCGCGCCCGTTCCCTCCACCAGGTAACACACAGGGAAGGCTAGGATGTGGAGGTTTGCAAGGGGTGGACAGAATGAGGGACCGGTGTTTCTGGAGAACTTGGGAAATCAGGATTAGAGAACTGAGAGGTCAGAGTATAGGTTCAAGCATATGGGAGTTCCTGAGGGCTCCTGTGGAGGGTGAGATTATTAATGTGATACAAGAAGCTGAAAGGGATGTGGGGTTAGCTCTCAACACACCCACCTCAACGGTCAAAGATTCCTCCAGCTTTTTGCACGTTGAGAAGATGGATTCAGAAGTGGCAAACTCGAAGTACCATAGCTTGTTCTTCATTCTGTGTTGGCCCCAACGCCAGGCCCAGGAGGGACAGGACAAGTTGTACAGTGCTGGCAGAGGTGGATTCAGCGACAGGGAAGGCCATCAACCCCCCAGCTGCTGTCCCAGTGGGAGCAGGGAAGCTCGGTCAAGGGGCTTCCTGGGAGCGTCACTGCCCATTGAAGCACGGAGTCAAACTTGGCCAAAGCTGGTCCCTGCCACTGTGTGTGCCCACACTCTCCCTTCCCTCACCTGCTGTTGAACTTCTCAGGATACTTCTCTCGCATGATGTGGAATCGGTGAGCAATAGAGGCATCCTGGGGGGTCCAGGGCAAGTGAGATCAGAGGCTGCCTCCTTTCTCAGCACAGAGCCCTCTCTTTCACTCCCCAGTTTGGGAGTGACACACCCCGCCTTCTCTTCTCGCAGTTCACACCACTATCCCCCAGCTCCTCATGGCCGTGCCGTGGCTCCCTTACCCTCCACGTCTCTTTTCTGCCCTCTGTGAGCTTTTCCCAGCTTGACCCCACTCCCCCTCTCCCTCCCCTGCCCATGCCCCACTCCACTGACCACACCGATGGAGAAGTAGTTATTGATGATGTGAAAGGGGACTGGGTCGCTCTTTTCCTCAGTTTGTTGGGGTATCACCTCCACAGACCATCGATCCATATGTACCACCTTACTCGCCTCTAAGTCCTTGAGGATCTTCCCCAGATTCTGTCCCTCATACCCTACGGGCGGGGGAGAAAACAGGTCAGCATTGAGCCCTGGGTCCCAGAGGAGGGGCCTCCTCTAAGCTCCCAGCCCCACAAATTCTCAGGGATACTCTGCTCTTGTGCTGCAGACCCTATCGGCCCTAAGCACAAAAGGGCAGGGTGCTCAGTCACGGCTTCCATGAACCAGTCTTAAGGTCAGACACTTACTGACCTTTTCTCCACAAGCTCACTGTCATGGAGGGTGAAAGTGTCCAATGTGTGTGCACATCTAACGATAATGCCAAAGTTCATCTAGAAGAGTAAAGAACATTGCCAGGAAAATGAAAAGTGCTGAAAAAGATGAGTGATGAATGGGAATGATCTCTTTCTCTGATGCTTTCTCTTCTCCCAGACAGAACACAGTATAAAGCAACAGTATCAGAACAGGCTGATACTGGCACAGTGAATAGAATAAAAAGTTCCACAGCAAAGAACAGAGCACCCCAGAAATAGACTCGAGTATACGTGGGAATTTAGTATATGATGACATTTCAAAGAAATGGAAAAAGATAGAAAGCCCAGAGATAAATCCACGAACCTATGGTCACCTTATCTTTGACAAAGGAGGCAAGGATATACAATGGAAAAAAGACAACCTCTTTAACAAGTGGTGCTGGGAAAACTGGTCAACCACCTGTAAAAGAATGAAACTAGAACACTTTCTAACACCATACATAAAAATAAACTCAAAATGGATTAAAGATCTAAATGTAAGACCAGAAACTATAAAACTCCTAGAGGAGAACATAGGCAAAACACTCTCCGACATAAATCACAGCAGGATCCTCTATGACCCACATCCCAGAATTTTAGAAATAAAAGCAAAAATGAACAAGTGGGACCTAATGAAACTTAAAAGCTTTTGCACAACAAAGGAAACTATAAGCAAGGTGAAAAGACAGCCCTCAGATTGGGAGAAAATAATAGCAAACGAAGCAACAGACAAAGGATTAATCTCAAAAATACACAAGCAACTCCTCCAGCTCAACTCCAGAAAAATAAATGACCCAATCAAAAAATGGGCCAAAGAACTGAACAGACATTTCTCCAAGGAAGACATACAGATGGCTAACAAACACATGAAAAGATGCTCAACATCACTCATTATCAGAGAAATGCAAATCAAAACCACAATGAGGTACCATTACACACCAGTCAGGATGGCTGCTATCCAAAAGTCTACAAGCAATAAATGCTGGAGAGGGTGTGGAGAAAAGGGAACCCTCTTACACTGTTGGTGGGAATGCAAACTAGTACAGCCACTATGGAAAACAGTGTGGAGATTTCTTAAAAAGCTGGAAATAGAACTGCCATATGACCCAGCAATCCCACTTCTGGGCATACACACCGAGGAAACCAGATCTGAAAGAGACACGTGCACCCCAATGTTCATCGCAGCACTGTTTATAATAGCCAGGACATGGAAGCAACCTAGATGCCCATCAGCAGACGAATGGATGAGGAAGCTGTGGTACATATACACCATGGAATATTACTCAGCCATTAAAAAGAATTCGTTTGAATCAGTTCTAATGAGATGGATGAAACTGGAGCCCATTATACAGAGCGAAGTAAGCCAGAAAGATAAAGACCATTACAGTATACTAACACATATATATGGAATTTAGAAAGATGGTAACGATGACCCTATATGCAAAACAGAAAAAGAGACTCAGATGTATAGAACAGACTTGTGGACTCTGGGAGAAGGCGAGGGTGGGATGTTTCAAGAGAACAGCATCGAAACACGTATATTATCTAGGGTGAAACAGATCACCAGCCCAGGTTGGGTGCATGAGACAAGTGCTCGGGGCTGGTGCACTGGGAAGACCCAGAGGGATTGGGTGGAGAGGGAGGTGGGAGGGGGGACCGGGATGGGGAATACATGTAAATCCATGGCTAATTCATTTCAATGTATGACAAAAACCACTGCAATGATGTAAAGTAATTAGCCTCCAACTAATAAAAATAAATGAAAAAAAAAAGAAATGGAAAAAGAAAGATTATTCAGTAAATGGTGCTGGATGTAGAAGTAACAACACCTGATACTAAAATAAATTCAAGATGGGTCAAACAATTTAAATGTAAGCAAAATTTGTACTAGCAGAAAACATGAGTGAATGTTTTATCATCTTTGAGTGGCAAAAGCCTTTCTAAAGCATAGTACAGCCTAGATGGGCGGGGGGAGAATGGCTACACGTATATGTATGGCTGAGTCCCTTTGCTGTCCATAGGAAACTATCATAACATTGTTAATCAGCTGTATGCCATAAAATATATAAAATTTTTTATCTTGTACATATTTTTATAAAAATAACTTATTTTATAAAATAAAAAATTTAAAAAACATAGTACAAAACTTACAGCCAAATAAGAAGACCAATAAATACAATCATACTAAAATTAAATTTAAAATTTAT